TTCAGTAAGCCATGGAGCCCCTTCTCTTCGAAGACAAACTGCTGCCAGAGACAGATTTACCACTGACCAACAGTGTTTTTATGCAAATGTGCCTGAGTGAGTGCAGTAACCCCAAGTTATAATAGAGTCATTCAATCTCTTGCCAGGACAGCAATATTTATATATTGCAAAGATAAATTGGATATCAAAACCAGTTCCATTACAGAGGGAAAGTTCTCTATGTAAATCAGTATTTCTAATCACACCATGCTTCTTCCCACCCCCTAACCCATTTTGCTTTCCTTGCTTTATCTTTATAGATGAATTCCAAATGTGTTTTTCTCTTGTGTGTTCACTTCGAATATTGAAGCATTTGGCTAATGCCAAGCTAATGGATAACATAAACTCCTCACTAGGAAACTTTAAAGTCTCCAAGTGTGTTTCTTCATGCCTTGGGGAAGTGCTATAAAGGGCTTATATTTACGTACAGTGTTTTGTCTGCTACTTGTGCAGGTTTCTGTTTGGACCTCTCTCTCCTGCTGCCTGATGGGAAGGAAGGGGCAGTCATCTCCCTAGTGACTTTATCTCCCCATCAGGAATGAGTGCAAGGGGTCAGATGCCCCTCTGCAGGCTAGTCACCATCTGCTGACAGCAGCGCTCCCCCGGGAGAGCTGGCTTTGTTTACTGACGGGGCTAACGTGACGAGACACGTGAAGTACTTTGGTTTGTGGAAGAGGGCAGGAGAGGCATGGTGCTATGAAAACATTCCCACACGCTCTAATGGCTCATTCACATAGAAAACAAGCGAGAGCCTTCAGCTCTTTCACAGGGCTCAAAGTAGAACAAACGGACTCAAGAACCCCAAGGCACCAGTCAAAAAACACTTTCCTAATGCACTAATACTGAGATGCTCTCCATGATAGCTTACCTATGAGATTTCAGCTCTCATTCAGGCAACTAAATGACCTGGCTAGATTGAAAAGCTGCTCAGTATCTGGTAGTTGCTGTTGTTCACTGTGAGCTGCTAATTTCTTTCTGAAAATCTAACCTTCAGTTTCCTAAACTTTCTGAAACTCGTTATAATAGGTGAAGTATGCGTTGGAGAATTTTGTCAGTACAGTTACCAATTGAGTATTTTCTCTTTAGAATAAAATCTATAGAAAGCAGAAGAAATACAACATGCCTAAAAAGAGACACATTTTTTGCCCTATAGTTGGTAGACACACACAGATGCACACATGAGTGTGTAACTTTAGAATATAATTTGAGGATCAAAAAGAAGTGGCTTTCTGAATTAGGTCTCAAACACAGTTGCGATACATGTCATGGAAAAGTCCACATTATAAGCTGATTTAAGTGATGAATGATGTTTAGTGAACAGCAGCATTCATTATTCTGGGCTACAGTTCATAAGATGTATAAGAAGACAACACGAACAGTGATATTATGTCAACCCACAAGTTTGTGTAGCTCAGTATCTGACCTCTAACACCAACCTGTATTGCATGATTAGAAATAAAGCATAAGAGGGCAAACTTACAGTTATTCTTCCGTTAAGATACCCTACCAAATATGTATCAATTCATGATTTAGGGAATTTCAAAGTCTAGTGTGGCTTCATGGTATAACAAAATATTATGTAAAAATGATTTCTTGCTTGTTCTAGAAGTGCTATGAAACTCCTTAATTCTTACATTTTGAGAAATACTGAATTACAGTACTGTCTTCACCTACTCTGTGACACTCATTATTTTCTCTGCCTGTATCATCTTTCCTCCATTCATCTCCTTACTTCCTGAAGGGTCCTAGTCTAATTTATTTTCATACAGAAGCTGCTTATATTTGTTACCATGTTTGTTGCTCTGTCATTTCCTGTGCATTGCTGAGTGGACCAAACTGCAAACTCCATACTGTATGGATGTACCAATCATAATATTTGATGATATTTGATCACTAATGAGCATTGAGCTGATATTTTCATAGAAGTAGCCACAGTAACTCCATAATCCTTATTTCTGCATGACAGTATCAATTGTAGCCCAGCAAAATAAATAACATGTATATATGGACATATACACGCAGGCACGCACACCCCATATTTATTTTCAAATGTAATATATATGCATATTACAGTCTACATGTACGTAGTTAGCTCTGTTATATGTAGTTAGCTGTGTTTCCCCTCATGGGCATTAAGTTACATGTATTGAATTTTCTGCCTTTGTATTGCCCCATTACTCAGTACTTTAAAATTCCGAAAATTTTTTATAATTGGCTTTTGTCTTTACTTCATTGAATTCTCAGTAACTCACTATCTACTTTTATTTCCAGATTATTTAGGGGAATATGTTGAGCAGCACAGATCTTTCTGAGAAATCAGTGATAACCTTCCACCAGAATGAAGAATGACTTCCCTTTTCCTATCTTTTAATTTAATAGAAGACCTGATCTCTTTTAATAGAGCTTAGTCTCTTTCAGAGTCTTTGGTGGGGACCTTTTAAGAACAAATGTAATCCATTCATTGATGTCTTGGCCCTTTATATTCAACCTGTGTTCCTGTAGCCATGTAACATCTTTGAAGAATGGGACTAAAATATACACATTCCCTTTTCCACTTTTGCTCAATCTGAGCTCTTATCAAAGTCAATATAGCTCAAGGATTTGTTGAAATGGATATGACTACGCAAAACCACCAGGTCAAATATATTAGCAAGGGCAGGAGCACGAACCAACCATAAGTTGATAATTGCATGTTACATTTGCTTTAGTTTTTACTGCTTCTGAAGGAAGGTTATGTCTAATTTAAGGTTGATTCTAAAAATATTAATATTTGGCCTAAAATAACCCCACTTTGGGAATGTGCCACTGAAAATGTGAACTTTTTGAAAAGGCTTCACTTTTTTGGTAGATAAGAGTATTGTTCAGTTCCATCTTCCAATGTTTAATATACCATATTTTTTGAGATGTGTAGTACAGATCAAAGGGCAGGATGTGGCCCTTAGTTACCTGCTGTTACTGGCATTAACCTCACAGCTACTGAAAAATGATGCATCAAATTTCTATCACTGCAAATGTCACTGTTCTGAAACTTGCATATGTTGCCTGAGCTGTCAGTAATAAAGATCTGTTCTTAATTATTCTCCTGTTTAAAAAAATAATAATTTTCTAATAACCCAGTGAATGGGAATTTGATGTTTTCTTTGGCTGGAAACATTTTAATGATTTAGTACATGTATAAAGTGCTGTGTGCTTTTATAATATAATAGCTTTTGCAAATGAGTAGGACTTTCCCATTTGAATCCCCATGGCTATCAAGAAAAGCAGAATTGTTTTAAATCTGAGTTAAGTTTAAAAGTGAGTAACTTAAGGAAAACATTTTAAGAGAAAAACAATTCAGCAGAAAGCCAGACATACAAAATTGGGTTTACATGTATTACAGCAATGCAAACTGTAAAAGTGTGTAGTTAAAATTAATCATACTGTATATTTTAATCTTTTGTCCATCTTATTGCTTTTCCTTAATAGCAAAGAGTAGTGTTTATTTTTGCTTCATTAATATTATATGGAACTAATTTCACTGTGATGAGAAAATGAAAATAGCAAAGAATAGTAAGAAAGTATAAGAAGAAAATGAAGGCTTTGGATAGTATCAGATTTTCTGGTTGGAAGCAGAATAATCCAGACCATAAATCCTATTTGCTTTTAATACTCCCCCCCCCCAGTCACAGTACTTCTTTACTTCTTTCAGTTAATTACCTTCATTCAAAGCCCAAAGAAGTGAACAGAAAAGACTCCCTTTGAAACTTTGGACTAGCCTCATAGATATGATAATTAGCATGAAATTCTACCTTCATTAAAGGTTGAAGTGTTTAAAATATACAAAGAGTAATGGGCTTTCCTTTCTTTGTTTTTTCAATGTGATGATAGACTCTAACATTTTAGCTCATTGCTGTGCTTCACCGAATAGTGTACCTTTTGGAAACATGAATATTAACAGCCAATCTATAAAACACACATAATATACAGCTAAAAAAAAAAAAATGTTTCTTTTCCTTGTCCATCTGGTCTTGGCAATATGTATTTAAACACTAACATATAAAACATTTCATACAAAACACCCTAGTTGATTCTGGATAATATTTCATTACCCTGCTCGGTTGCTTCTCAAACCAGACTGGTATATTACTGTTTAAGTTTCTGGTTGTATCTCTGTTTGTATCTGCAATTCTAGACAGAATTTGTCCTTGCTCCTTGAAGTCAAGCAAACTAATATTTATTTTACCAGAGACAGTATTTATTTAAATATTTTCTGAAGTTTAATGCCAAAATGCTATGTAATCAAAAAGCAGTGTGAAACAAAAATATATAACTGGGTGCAAACAAGCACTACAAAGTTCAAGAAAGCTAGATGAATAGTTGCTGTTATAAGGGTTTTTGCCTGCTCTTTTTGCATTGAATCTGTGCGCTAATTGAGACAAAGATCCAATGTAAAAAATAATATGTGGTCTCATAATTAAAGACTATAATAATGCATGCACACAAAGGCTGAATTAGAGTTGTACATGTCATCTGGAAAGGATTGTATGGAAGAGAATCCAATAGGGTCTGGAGCACTGGCTTTTCCTTTACCAGATTTTACGTATCTGTTGAAACAATGGACAGCATAAATTTCTAAACTGCAACCATCTCATCCTATGAATGTCAGGTAACCTAAATGAAGGAGTCTTTCCTATTTTCTCATATAATAAGATTATTTGTTCAGTATGTATGTATTAAAATATGCCATGGAGATTATTATTGTATTTTAGAATCATTTTGGTCAGGATATTTTAGAATGGTGTGACAACAGGCCCAGGTATATCCAACCTTAAAGCTGCAATCACTTCTTATGAATCATCATTTTTGCCAGTTCTGTTCTCCACATCTTTTATTATCAGCTGGTCTTTTGACAATTCTTGCTAGTCAGGATGACCACTGTCAAAATGCTGTCTAGGCAAAATGTGTTTTTTCAACTTTTGCAGATCTAAGTGACCAGCTTATGGAAGTGGTTGGTCTGGAAGGAGCCATGGAGATGGGACAGATATACACAGGACTGAAAAGTGCTGGAAGACGGCTTGCCCAGTGCTCATCTGTTGTCATCAGGTATCAGCAGCTTTAATTTGCACTGCACTGGTGTAATGAAACAGTAAAGTTTCATATATTATCAGTTCACTTTCTTTGATAGTTTAATAGTCATAATTACTGTACTTATTGCTTGTGAAAGTATCATTTTTATATATAAAATATATATATTCCATCCATATTCTATGCCCATACATCTTCCTTTCTTTAAATCTGTCAAAAAACTAGGAAAAGGGTGTTTACATTCAGTCTTCACATGTTGTATTCAACTGTCACTTCATCCTATGAAGAAATATTGTCAAGCAGTTGGAGCAGAAGGAGTAAGGCATGAACATCTTGGGGTGTATTATTGACATACACTCCATGCAATTTTGAGCAAAAAGTCATTTACCATTACTTTAATACGTTTTAACCCATTTATAATGCATAACTCACCAGGGAATAGTAGCATGTAATTAGTGTTTGTAAAGCACTTTTTTGATCTGTGGAAGTCAAAGTGCTCTGTTTTTAATCTGTTTGTTATGTACTGAACACTGACAAGTCACTATTAATAAATGTGTTGGTATGTGTAAGCCACTAATGGTGGAGCACACTAATTTAGTTGTGTTTTATCATTTACTATGCTAAAAGTGACCAGAACGTTCACAACAGAGGAAACTTGGATTAGGACTCAAGGAGAAAATAATTATTCTAGCTTTTGGATTAGATAAGGACTGGAAAAGAGAGAGATGGTCAACTCTTCCTCAGTAAAGAATTTCTCAGGAAGAATTTTTCAAAATCTTAATAAAATCATAAGCTATACAGTTTTAAGCCCCAAAAGCCTAAAATGAATGTAAAACAGAAGAGCAGCAATAAAAATTTTAAGAAAATAAGTAGTAGTTGCTGAAGTGCCTGGCATATTTTTGAGATTCTCCTCAAGGACTAGGTGGTGTGGACTTCAAAAGTACTCTTTCATGTGGATGAGGAAAAGAAATAAGATCACAGAGGCATTCCAACCTTCTCTGGATACCAAGAGATAATTTTTATAATCCCACATCAGCAGGACCACAACTGCAAAAGATTCAGAGTGAGAGCTCATTGAACATTCTTCCCTTCCTCCATTTATGGCCATAGATAACAGTGGATAATCCCATGAACTGTTAGTCATTTTCAAATAATGTCCAAGCCAGAATTTCCATTGACCAACATGAGTGCTCAGTTGACTCATTTCTCCATGTTATTTCTAATAGTCTTGTATGCAAACTATTATAATGCAGAAATACAGGGTTGGAAAAGACCCAAAAAGATCATCCTTTCTCATTTCTCTATACTTTTCTTAATGTGGTATCCAAAACTAGACAGGGAACACTGGCTGTAGCTTTATGTTAAAATCTGTGCCCCTTTACTAACAATTTAAATTTATGACATGATATGTTAAAGCCTTTGAATATAGTACAACTGTCATGTTATGCGAGTGCTCTCTAACCCAGAGTTAGACACAAGCGTAAAAACATCTTTTATGTTTCTAATAAATGGTGATGACAGAGGTAAAATTTATTTCTTACTTCCTTTATGGTAGTCAGTCTAAATTATAAAAAATAGCAGAGCTTCCTTTGTCTTTTCAGTTAATAAGGTTTATTCCTGAAGTTCTTGCGTAATTCACTCTTTATTTCACAAATTACAGACTACTCTCCTGTGAGAGAGTAGCATATGTGTGAATGTTTGCAATGTTTTTGCTTTGTGTGTTGAAAAATCAAACTAAGCCTACTAAGAGAGTAGGTTACTTTTGTAAGCATGTTGGGTCATGATGGAGATTACATAGAAGCTTAGGGGTAAATCAGGGTTATATGTGTGTGCCATCACATATATGCCTCCTTAATAAATACATTTATCAATTTTGTCTAGTTACTTTTTCTTATACTATGAAATATATTCCTTTAGGACCAGCAAGTCTCTGCCTATGCAGATAGATGGGGAACCTTGGATGCAAACTCCTTGCACGGTAAGGATACTGTTATTTCTAGGAAGAGAACGGGACAAAAAAATTAGGAACGTTTTTTAAAGAGTAATAAAAATTACAATAGTCAGAAATACTAATTGATTTATTCACTTCCACTTCAATGATAGAAAGAGAATCTTTTGGTTTAAAAGACAACCATTGTCATCAGCGTTACCTCAATTTACTTACATAACATCTTCACACACTGTTATTATATAGTTCAACACCCACTGTATTTTCAATTTATCATGCTGTTTTTTCCTCACAGGTTAGGATGGAATAAAAAGGTATTTATTTCAAAAGTTTGGAAAATACTCAAAGGGTGCAGTCTCAGCATCCCTTTACCCAATGTGATCATTTATTTATGATGATGTATCGGATTTATAGTCACTATTGCTGAGGAAAAAACAATGTTCGTTTTGATGCTAAAATGTATGAAGTAAATAATTGTTCTTTAAAAATTTAGGAAGATTTTCCAGTGTGCTTTTGAGAGTTATGTCAAGGAGGTTGCATTTAAAGCTAAAGTCTTGACTGTGCTGAATTATACGATAGAACTAATATTTTAAAAATCCTTACAGTTTAAAGGAGAAATTAAGGAAATTATTTAGTCTCTTGTTTCAGTGCCCACACATATGAAGTGAGGGCAGGTAAACAGCGATCTGGATAGGATAGGATAGGATAGGATAGGATAGGATAGGATAGGATAGGATAGGGAGGAGCTTGCTCAGAGAAGGTTCTTTGAGTAACTGTTTACAGACAACACAAGAAAGGTGTATCTCTAAGAACTCTCCATTTTCATCTCTCTCCAATAAATTATAGAGGCTAACTGAGCATTTGGAGAAGATGTTGAAGAAATTTAAGCTCTTTATTGTTGAATATAGTCTTAGTAACATGTTTTAATATACAATTTTACTAATTTTGTTTCCCTAAAGAAGACCTGTGTTTTTAAGTAGATTAATTGCTGTAGCTTTGCAGCTTGTAAGTATGACAAAACAGTAATGTGACAAGGAAGAAATCCCACTACAGATGGGAGTAATTCTCCAAACTAGGGTACTGGATCACTTTCATGAGCTTTATGTCTGTAGTAGAATTAAAAGCTACACAAAAAAAGTAAAAGGGAGCACCTTCAGTAAGGTGCTAACAGGTGTGGCAGCTGATAATGTACATGTTAGGATGACAGAAAAGGGTTGTGATAGTTCACGTTTACCAGATACACCATAGTGTACAGCTGAACAGCAGGGAGAATGCCTGAACTCTCATTCTCTATGGTAAATGCTCAAATGCTGCAATGAGAGGAGAACCATGTGAACACACACTGTGTGAAGGCAGAACAGTGGGGATTTTATGAGACTTATTCCAGGAAACCTTTTGGAGTTAAGAGATATCATTATCTTTACCTCTTCTACAGCAATGTCTCAGTGCAGAGCAACAGTACTGAACGCAGCAGTTACTTGCTCAAGAAAAACATGTAATTTTTCAGTTGCCAGATTACGGAAGAGAACTTATGGAAGGATGCTGGCAATAACATGTGCTTTTTTTGTCTTGATTTCTTGCTCTGTGCAAAATCCCTGCTATCTGATTGATAATGCTAGCAGAAGCTGCCTGAACAATTGAGGACAAACCTGGAAAAAGAGACAGTTCTTACATTTCAATTACTGCCTTGAGGAAACAGTAAATTATTACTGATAATTACTGCTGTCCAGTTGAAGTACCATTTTAAAGGGGATGGAAATGGCATATACTTATCTGTGGAACCCATCCTTTTTGCTATACCATTGTTAAGGGAACAGACTTTGTGTTACATAAGAAAACCATACTGTTGAATGTATATATTTCCTCTGAAAAGAAAATATGTGAACTATTTGTCTAGACTACTGCAACTCTATGAAATTTAGATATAGAATTATTATTTTATGTTATATTATTCATTTTTCAGGAAATGTTTTTTCTGTGCTGGGGAGCTTAATGTATTTATTGCAATTGCTCCTTGCATTAATGTACATGTACCCCGCTCTGTTTTCTATATCTTACAAAGGAAAAACATGTATGGTCCAACCTCTCCCCTCCTCACTAATTCTAACTAAACTGCAGTTTTTCCTTGAAGTTCTCTGCAAAGCAGATAGGAATTTCTCCTAAGACAATGACAAAGGTGGATGTTAGCTTTCTCTCAATCGAAGTTTAGGATTTGTTTTCTAAGTGTATGCTTCAGAGGGGTCTTTGTTTGGAAGCCAAAATGTATTTGATTGCATAAGTATCAGGATGATATCTCAGTGATGTGTATCCAAAAGCAGAGTCGAAAAAAAAAACATAACATCAAAATAAATTCTTATGTGTGGCCAACTATGTAGCCAATTATTTGAACCTGCAAGAGCTCAAAGTTCAGAAAAAAATATGAGGAGACCAATATAAGAATCATGAGCTTTTGTCTTCTCTAGAGGCAAAACTGCAGTTTTCTCCCAAAATTACCTGAATGCAAATGATTAATGACCAGTTTTTAAATGGAAAAAATGTGATGATCAGATAAAGAAATCAATGGGTTTAGTTCCTTAGGAAACATATGAGAGTTTGGTTTTCTTTTTATTTCCCTTCATAGGAAATTTCAAATTTCTGTCTAGCTCTTACAAGGAACTGAGGCTCATATACAAAGATGCTGGCACTCCTACATCATGCACTGAGACATGGGGGGACATTCTTGTTTCACAATAGTTCACTTCACTTATTAGTTTACTAGCTATATGGCTTTTAGGACAGAAGCTACTGTCTCCACACAGTACAGGCCTGCTTGGATATACCATCTCACTAGTTCTAGGGGAGAGACCCCTGCACCTTGTTCTGTTGCACAGACCAGTTAGACACAGCAGATGAGCCTCAGGTTTTTGATTCTTTGGTGCTCCAGCCAGAAAGCTATTGTTAAAAAGAAGACTGCTATCCATCTCCAACTGTCCTTCAGAAAGTTGAAATAACACATTTTATTTTGGTATGGTCATCTCAGAAACTTCAGTGTCATCTAAGTTCAGTAGTTTTATGTAAAAATTACAGAGACTAAATGAGAAAGAAATTCATACGATTGGCAGGTATTGAATCAACCCTGGCCCAAGGTATAAGTGATTAAGCTCAGAAGTCCTCTTCTGTTTCTGCTTCAGGTTTTGATACAAAGGAGAATATTTTGCAAATGATTTTTCAGGAAATTGAGTTCAACATGATCAAAATTCTCCTGCTATTCCATTATGCATATTAAGGAAAACAAGTTCTGCATCAAGTCCCTGTTATGCATGGGATGCAGGCTGCACATGCAGTCTTGGAAGTTTATTTCCTGTTGAAGGAATCAACACGTTTATGTTTGCTACTTCTCCTTTCTGACTGGAAAAAAGTTTTATACAAGTAGCATGAGTTGCTGACAGCTGTCCCTTCTCATGCATATAGAGATCCTGTTCCCCCAAAATGACAGTGTGGGCTCTGAGAAAGTACTGTGGGATGCGATAGGCAATGCAGTGATTCCCCAGAAGCTGTGATCTGTGATTTTTCATTCCTGAGTTTTAGTACTAAAGAAATTGTCATGTGCTTCCTTTAACATCTTTTATGATCTTCTATTGCACACGCACCTAGCATCCCTACAAAGAGCAAGAATGCATTCCTGTAGGTCCTGTGCATACTTAGAAATGTGAGTGGCTTGATCTAAAGATCTGTCATCCAGAATTATTCAGTACGTTGAACACATGCAGACTGCAGTGTCTGACAAAGTCACTCTGCTCTGGTATAATAAGATGCAGAATCTGAGCATCAAATTATATTGTTTTCACTAGTTTTCATAGAGGAGTCTTTGGGAGAAGGAAGGATGATAATGTTAACGTTATGTTAAACATCTCGTCTGATTAGCTGAGGAGGAAATTCTATCAGAGCTCTCTCAGACAAATATAGCAACATGAAAGATATCCATGGTTTCACCTGATCTCCAAACAGGTCATTAATAGTAATGAAACTTCAAAGACTCTCAAGTTAATTCGATAAACTTCTAGCTTTAGCCATCAGGATTTTTTTTAAGAAAAGTAATCTTTCAATTTAGCTATATAACTTATTAGCATTGTTTTGAAAAAATCCATAAGAATATTCCATCTTAATTAGAAATAACTGTGATTTCAGTTCTTTCATCTATTCCTGACTTGGTTGGCATCATATCTGAAAGAGTGTCAAGCTTCTAGCAGCATTAGATTAAAAGCAGAAGACAGAAAAGTCTATAGAAGATGCAAGAATGTTGCCTAAATGAAGGAACTAAAATGAAAATCCAGTCAGAGCCCACATAACTGATTGCCAGAAATATAGTTTCATAGACATCTGAAACACATAGTATTTTTAGAATTATTTGCTGATGGGAATACTTGTAGTAAGCCATTTAATAATGAAACTCAGAAATAATATTTCAAAATATTATAGTTTGAATGCACCTTAAAAATAAGTTTTGAATGAATGAATGAATGGTTTCTCTCTAGCCTTTCATTTAGCTCCTAGAGATGTCATGAGCCTGAGCACAGAGGTCCTATTGAAGTCCTACCTTTGTAGTTCAATCCAGAGAAAAACAAGAACTAAAAAAAAAAAAAAAACAAAACCACTTCTACTAATAATCACTATTACGCCAGGGCTGGATGAAAAAACTAAAAGAGAGTTGCAGATTTGCTTTCATGTAGATCCATTGGATCCAACACTCCATAGATCGCATGGAGAAGCTGCAGCTGTATTCTAGACTCTGTAAAGTATCTTCTTTCCAGGTCACTGAATGTAGTAATATTTTCTTATCAGTTGTTCATAATGGGAGAATTTAAACTTTTGTGTCTGCTTCTTTAGAACAAAGCGAAACGGGGTCCTTAGATATGGAGGCTGATTTTAGTAGAATATTAGGCAATTATTACATAGTTAACCCATAAATGGAAGTCAATCACTAGAAAAAGGTTTTGGTATTAGACTAAAATGCTGCATTTTTTTCCCTTTTGAGCAACAATGTGCATACA